ACTTGCAGTCAGAATGCAAAAAAAAAACCACATTGATAACACTGGTCAACACACTTTATCTGTCATGAGGTATTCCAACGGTTTTAAGGTAATTTTGGGGTGCTGATTCCAAATCTGGCATCAGTTTTTGTCTATCACATCAGGTGTTTGAGATGTCAAATATTGCATTTTCAATAAAAACTGCAGAAGAAAAATATTAAATAGATGTGGACATCTACATAAAATGATATTATAAACACACTATCCTAAAAATACAGCACCATATTTTAACACTAAAGCAGTCACTGACTCGCAACAACTTGCAATCATAAGTGACATAGTTAATTTCGGGTAAAATCAATGAAAATGGGGTATGCCGATAGCATAAAAATGAGATGTAAAAATGAGATGTCCATCGAATGTCGAAACTTCGTCAATCGAACGTTGAAACGTCAGTCAAAGGTCTAAACGACGTCAATTGAACATCGAATTGACGTAAATCGAACGTCGAAACGTCAAAGGTCGAAACGACGTCAATTGAACATCGAATTGACGTAAATCGAACGTCGAAACGTCAAAGGTCGAAACGACGTGAATTGAACGTCGAATTGACGTAAATCGAACGTCGAAACGTCAAAGGTCGAAACAACGTCAATTGAATGTCGAATTGACGTAAATCGAACGTCGAAACGTCAATCAATGGCCGAAACAACGTCAATCGAACGTCAAATTGACGTTAATTGAACGTCGAAACGTCAATCAAAGGTCGAACCGACGTCAATCGAACGTCAAATTGACGTAAATCGAACGTCGAAACGTCAATCAAAGGTCGAAACAACGTCAATTGAACGTCGAATTGACGTAAATCGAACGTCGAAACGTCAATCAAAGGTCTAAACAACGTCAATTGAACGTCGAATTGACGTAAATCGAACATCGATATGACATCCATCGAACGTCGAAACGATGGGAGAGCGCAGGGGATCCGTAAAACATATTTTGAGGACGCAGCAAAGGTAAATACAGGGTGTTTAAAAAGATGGACCCGATTTTAAATCGCTATATCTCTACAACCACGAACCGCCCATGAATGAATCTCTTACCACTCGAGAGGGCGGGGCATAGAGAGGGCGGGGCATAGAGAGGGCGGGGCATAGAAGGGGGGAGGGGCATAGAGGGGGAGGGGCATAGAGTTTCAAATGATTACCGCAAGATGCCTCTCCCAGCGCACAAACAGCCTCTAGCCTCAATCATTCGCAAGACACACTGCCTCAACGTTGGATAGGTCACACGGGACCCCAAGACTTGGCGCTACACTCTTGGCCCCCAAGATCCCCAGACATCACCACACCCTGCGACTTTTTCTTGTGGGGAAACGTCAAAAGACCCGTGGTGTTTTTGTGCCACCATTAGCGACTAATCTGGATGACCTCAAAAACAGAATCACGGCAGCGGTGACTTCAGTGGAAGAAACCACTTTGAGAGGCGTTTGGGACGAATTCAACGATCATCTCGATGTTGTTCGTACAGCAGGTGGAGGGCACATAGAGCATTTATAAAATGGTTAATAAAACTTGATAATTCATTAAGCCGTTTGTAACTTTTTGTGTAATTGTAACATGTTGCCATCGTGAAATATACTGCTTTGAAATTGGGTCCATCCTTTTTTAACACCCTCTAGATTGGGGAGTTTAATTTATTTATTTTCTGTGTACTTTGAAGGTTTGTTATCTCGGGCGGCGCTTAGTCTTTGTTTACAACTGGGAGTGGAGGGGACGCAGGAGAGTGGGTGGTGGGGGGAGGGAGGGAGGGTGGTGGGGTGAGAGGGGGGTGGTGGGGGGGGTGGTGGTGGGGGGGGTTGTGGTGGGGAGGGAGGATGGTGGGGGAGTGGAGGTGGGGGGTGAAGGTAGGGAGGGGTGGAGGTGGGGGGGTGGAGGTGGGGGGGTGGAGGTGGGGGGGTGGAGGTGGGGTGGTGGAGGTGGGGTGGTGGATGGGGGTGGAGGTGGGGTGGTGGATGGGGGTGGAGGTGGAGTGGTAGAGGTGGGGGGGTGGCGGTAGGGGGGGTGGAGGTGGGGGGGTGGAGGTGGGGGGCTAGAGGTGGGGGTGAAGGTGGGGTGATGGATGGGGGGGGTGAAGGTGGAGGGGTGGAGGTGGGTGAGGGTGGGGTGGTGGAGGTGGGGGGTGGAGGTGGGGGGTGGTGGGGGGTGGAGGTGGTGGGGTGGTGTCGGTGGGGGGGGTGGAGGTGGGGGGTAGAGGTGGGGGTGGAGGTGGGGGGGTGGAGGTGGGGGGTTGGAGGGGCATCACGCACGCACAACAAAGGTAAAGACGCCCTGTGTAGCCTCTAACGAACCCTCGCCATCATTCGAGGCTGAGTCAACCTAAGGGACAGCCCCGCGCTAACCGCTGCGCCACCGCTCTCCCCCCCAGCCACAGCCACCCACCGCCCCTGTGATTGACGTCGCATCGTGCCCTGGGAGGTCGTTTGACCATACTTCACCACCCTGGTCAGTGCGTGGAGGTTCGCGGCTGTCGAAACCAGCGGCCGCCCTGGTTAATACCGCCACTTCTGATGTGTTAACCAAACAAAGACAAAGATCCCCCGTGTAGCCTGCAACAGACTGTCGGGGCAAGTGCTGTTAGCGTGCGCCCATGAAGGCCGGCACAGCACACGAGGGGGTGGGTGGCCAGCACCACGCCCGGCCGCCTTTGTCTCCCCAGTGGCGATGTTTACTACGCACCGCACCAGGTACTCATTTGAGGCTGAGTCGACCTAGGGGAGGCCCAGGACCGGTTCAGATAATCGTCCCCGGTATTGGCCGCGAGCAGGAGCGCAGCGTAGCGCTATCCGCTACGCTGCCGTGCTAATCACCACCACAACAACAACAACCACAACAACAACCACAACAACAACCACTGCGTGCCGTTTGCTTCACTCACGGAGGACGTTAAAGATCTCTCTGCGTCGTTCGCAAGAATTGGACCGTCGTGTGTAGCCAGTCACGCTAACTTCATTCTAATTTTTTTTTTAATCATTCAATTGGGATCGGGCACAGACGCAATATCATCAGCAGCAATCTAAACTATTGAACTATAAAGTATTTGAGCTACGCAGCTATTTTATTTTTAGAAGCGACCTGGATAACACGAATGATAAATCTCGACGTGGAGTTGGCGGCTTATCGTCGTGGAAATTGATTGCAGCCAAATGACACCAAAAAACGCGTGGCGACGTTCACTCTGAACGTGGAGAGGGTAAAAACCCGTAGGAGCCCGGAGAAAAATCCAGGCAACCACAGGGAGAGGCAGAGACACTCAAACTCTAAATATACAGCAGCAGGCGTCAGGATCGGGATCGAACCCACGACCTCCTGTATACCAGGCGAGGTAGTTAACATCTCATAGCCACCGTGATGATGATGAGAGAGACGCAAACTCCAAATATACAGCAGCAGCAGGCGTCAGGGTCGGGATTGAACCCACGACCTCCTGTACACCAGGCGAGGTAATTAATATCTCCTAGCCACCGTGATGATGATGATGAGAGAGAGACGCAAACTCCAAATATACAGCATCAGGCGTCAGTGTCGGGATCGAACCCACGGCCTCCTGTACACCAGGCGAGGTAATTAATATCTCCTAGCCACCGTGATGATGATGATGAGAGAGAGACGCAAACTCCAAATATACAGCATCAGGCGTCAGTGTCGGGATCGAACCCACGGCCTCCTGTAGACCAGGCGAGGTAGTTAACATCTCATAGCCACCACGGAGCCGAATCATCGTCCCCCTCCCCCTTTGCTGTGAAAAGAGCCGACATGACCCTCCTGGAAAGTGGCCATGAGACTCAGCGTTTACCTCTCCCAGATAAACACTCGGCGTAACAGCAACAGCAACAACAATGCCCCCGTGCATCAAGGGAAAAACATTTGTCCATGAAAAAAAATGAATTCCCATCCCTGGTCCTTTCTCCTCTATGTGCTGTTCGAAAAGGGCCATTGCCCGAAACGTCGCCTCTTGTTATACACATTTAGTTAATTAATTATTTTTAATGAACGTGTTCTCACACGATACAGTAATTTTACTGGAGCAGTTACACCTGATGACGGAGGCTTGTGTTGCTTCCGAAACGTCGTGATTTAATGTAGTTATTTTCATTTATTATTATTTTATTGTATTATTATTTTTTTTACCTACGTGACTTTACCGAAAGAACCTAAGAGTATGAACGTGTTCGAGTTAAAACAATATCGGCTGCTTGCGTTGTGGCCGAAACGTCGTGAGAATTGTATTTTATTATGTTTTATTTTCATTATTTTATTATTTCCCTTCTACGTGACTTTTACCGAAAGAACCAAGAATATAAATACGTATATGCTATTGTTAATTGTACTTGTGCAGTCCCGACCAAAGCTACAGCAGCAGCAGCAGCACCATATCACCTTGCTATATTATGCATACGTCAAGTTTTGCTGGCTGTCTGGCTGCCTGGACAGACATCGCTGTTCTCGAGCAATCGTTAGCAACAGACGTGGACACGATGGTGCCCGTGACAGCCGTGGCAGGGAATCAAACTCAGGGCGGGGGGAGGTTTGAGTCGGTCGACTTTCGTTCACCAGTTGCGCACCCCGTGACCACTGCGAAATTGCCAACCATAAAATAGGTGGATGCGTGTGTGAGTGCGAGGAGGGTGCAGTGCACGACTTGGTTTAGTACCCATATCTATATATATAGACACGCACACACACGCAGACGCAGCACGCAAGGAACTCGCACACACGTATACACAACGCGCGCGCACACACACACACGCACTCACTCACACACACACCGATAGCACCCCACCTCCGTCTAAGTATTTAGCGGGCTGTCTGGGGGTAGGAGGTCAGAAAGTGCTTTTATCAACTCAGCACCGATGACACGCAGGCACACGGACGAGTCTGCATCTTGACCACCGGCTGAGCCGATGAAACGAGAGTGTTGGACAGTCTCGGGGAACACGTGGAGAAGACGCCTTCACATCCCTTAAGCACATCGGGATCTCTTTCTCCACCCTCCTCCCTCCTCCTCCTCTTCAAGGTAATTTACGTTCGGGGCAATCTTGGCAAGAGCTGCGTTGAATTTGTCCAAGCGTCAAGTTTGCGTCGTCGACTCGATTTTGCGTCGTGGATTTTTAGGCACGCAGCGTGAATTATGCACGCAATTATTGGATAGAATGATGATGGGTTGACTGTGTTGAATCACGGAATATTATGATGTTAGATCGACGGTGTTGAATTATTTAATAGAATTATGATGGGTTGCCTGTGTTGAATCACGGAATGTTATGCTGTTAGATAGACGGTGTTGAATTATTGAATATAATGATGATGGGTTGACTGTGTTGAATCACGGAATATTATGCTGTTAGATCGACGGTGTTGAATTATTTAATAGAGTTATGATGGGTTGACTGTTGAATCACGGGATATTATGATGTTAGATTGGCCGTGTTGAATTATTTAATGTAATTATAACAGGTTGACTGTGTGGAATCACTGAATATCATGGAGTTAGATCGACCGTGTTGAATTATTTAATAGAATTATTATGGGTTGACTGTGTTGAATCGCTGAATACCATGATGTTAGATCGAGCTTGTTGAATTACTGAATAGAATTATGATGGGTTGACTGTGTTGAATCATGATGGTAGATTGGTTGTAACGTTGAATGATACGAGATTGAATCATAGACTATCATCATGCTAGATTAAATGAGTCTCATCAATGTGTTGCATCATAGAATAGAATGATGCTAGATTTACTGTTTTGAACCACCGTGTTCAATCACAGAACACAATTAACTGACCGTGTTGAATCGACGTGTTGAATCATCGAACAGAATGATGTTAGATTTACTGCGCCGAATCAATAGAATATAATGATCTCAGATTAAATGAGTGGCTGAGTTTATCTGTTGTGTTTGCACGGCTGATGGACCCCGTATAGCCACAGCTGCCTGGCGATTTTCCAAGGGAGGTCTGATTTTATACCTTACTATCAGTGCCGGATAAAGCTAAGTGTGGGGCCTGTAGCATATGCTATAAAGGGGCCCTAAATAAAATAAAATAAACACTTAAATATTAAACACAAATTGTTTTACTTGCATAGTAAAATAATTGAATGTTTCATTTGCGATGCAGCCAGAAAATACGACAAATCGCTAACCTTAAACACCCAGTCGTTCATAAAAGTTGAAGGCGGTATAGTGCTATAGTAATAGAGCAAGTGCAGAATCACTGAACCGTAATTGACAGCTTGAAAGCGTTTAGCGCGGGGCCCTTGAAAGTGCGGGGCCCGTAGCGTATTCTACTTTTGCTACTAAGAAAGGCGGTAATTATAATATCTATTGGGGGGACACATCCCCCCAAATATTAAAATATGCTTAAAATAATTGCTATGTAAATAAAAACAACTATTTGCTAAACCTTGGCCACAATATCTGTATTTGTCTTCATATAAATCAATGCATAGATTTCTGTTCATATGATTGTGGTTATGGTTGTACTTTATTAATCCCTAATCTCTGCCATTACATACAATGAAACAAGAAATGGTAAAAAAAAAGTTAAAACAGACCAATGTAATACAATACACTTTTAGACATTGTGAAGAAGAAAAAAGTCCACCCCATGTGTTAGTGAATTTTTGAATATTTTAGGCAGAAAATTCGTTTTCAAATTTAGATATTTTTCTGGGATGGGACCACCAGACACCCTGAAAGATTTGGTCCCCCCAATGTTGACTCCATGGCTACCGGCCTTGTTACTTGGATAATCCGGCACTGCTTACGATGCGTATCATAGTAACCATCATGTCGTCACCAGTTTTCTGGACATCTGTGAAAAAAATAGAGCTGCATGGCTAAGCATATTCCTCCTCCGGTATAAATCACGATTCTGATTCTGCTGAATAGAACCAATACACCAAGCCCTTGCCTATCGCGGGGAGTGACGTTCTTGGAAACGGCTGCGATCGGCAAATCCGCGATGAGCAAAGTCAACGTACACAACAAACACCCTTTTGCACGTGTGCATGCACGTCAGAGGTCGCAACCGGGTACCCGATACCCGTACCCTACCCGATACCCGGCTACCCGTACCCGGCCAGGTACGGGCAGCCGTTTGCGACCCTGGTGCGGCCGGGTACGGGTACGGGTAGGCCGTGAGTCACTAGTGAGTAACCGTTTGTCACTCATTTCGGGTAGGGTACGGGTACGGGTAGCGTACGGGTACCCGTACCCGGCCGGGTACGGGTATGGGTACCCATTTGCGACCCTGGTGCGGCCGGGTACGGGTACGGATAGGCCGGGAGCCACTGGTGAGTAACCGTTTGTCACTCATTTCGGGTAGGGTACGGGTACGGGTAGGGAACGGGTACCCGTACCCGGCCGGGTACGGGTATGGGTACCCATTTTCGACCCTGGTGCGGCCGGGTACGGGTACGGGTAAGGAATCAAAACCCGTTTGCGACCTCTGATGCACGTTAAGCTTCTTTCACACCACCGTACGTAGCCATCCGTGCTAATCGAAGGTGCGGTGGGGGGGGGGGTACAGCAAACTAACACGCAAACAGCAGTTCGAAAGAAATGACTTGTCAATTTCTATGATTTAAAAGTGCATCGTACATGGTTTTTTTTATTCAGATTATCACTAACAAAAGCATAATAAAAGGCGTTATCATTCCTGGGAATCATAAGGAGGCGTTACGATGTATAAACACCAACTTAGATGCTTGGTACTACAAAGGCATCAAGTCTGCATTAATCGCACACGTTAGTCGTGGTAAAACACGCTAGCACACTTGTTTAAGTAATCATGTAAATAAATATAATCTGATCTGATTCTTCTTCTTGGTTCTTTCGGTAAAGTCACGTAGAATGGAAATAATAAAATAATAAAAATAAAACATTATAAAATAATTCTCACGACGTTTCGGCCACAACGCAAGCAGCCGTCCTCAGGTGAAGAACAGGTCTGTTGTTGTTTTATTTTTATTATTTTATTATTTCCATTCTACGTGACTTTATCGAAAGAACCAAGAAGAGGAATCCCTGCAGTCACGAAAGCTTTACATCGAAATTTGATCTGATTCTGTTGAAGATAGCGAATGCACCAAACCCTCGCCCATCGGCAAAATCCGCGATACGCAAACTCAAGGATCAGAATCTGTATTCACAGGAGGAATCCGATGAGCTATGAAGCTCTTTACTCACAGATGTCCAGTAGGGGGCAGGGAGCTTTACAACAACACACAATATACACAAAAACACGATGGGAGTGCAAAGCGTAGGAAAGGTTAACAGATTACTTTAAAAATATATATTCGAATACAGCTAAACTATTTTTTTTTCATCTCACCAGGTTTGTCAATCTAAATGATGATTTAAAAGTGCCACGGCTCCCAGTGACTTACTCTTAGGTTCTTTCGGTAAAGTCACGTAGGTAAAAAAGAAGAATAATAATAAAGTAAAATAAAAAATAAACATTTAGTTTTCATTTATTATTATTTTATTGTATTAAAAATAATAATCAAATCAAATAATAAATAATAATGTAGTTATTTCCATTTATTATTATTTTATTTTGTATTATTCTTTTTTTACCTACGTGACTTTACCGAAAGAACCTAAGAGTATGAATCCTTGCAGTCACGAAAACGTCAAATCTATAATCCGTTCCAGACGGCCGCAGAAGCGCATCTGCTGAAAAGTGCCGCGCGAAACGGTAACGCCATCTTTGTTCGATGGTTCGCCAAAAGGGTAGTTTGTAGTGCAGTGTTTAGTAGTGTATAGTATAGTAGTGTAGAGTATCGTAGTGTAGTGTACAGTAATGTATAGTAGTGTATAGTGTATTGTATCGTAGTAAAGTGTATAATGTAGTGTATAGTTGTGTAGCGTATAGTGTAGTGTATAGTAGTGTAGTGTATAGTGTAGTGTATAGTAGTGTAGTGTGTAGCAATATAGTTATGCAGTGTATAGTAGTGTTTCGGTGTGTAGTGTATAGTGTATAGTGTCGTGTATAGTGTATAGTGTCGTGTATAGTGTAGTGTATAGTAGTGTAGTGTATAGTGTACAGTAGTGTAGTCTATAGTAGTGTATAGTGTAGTGTATATAGCATCTGAAAGCGCTGAGCGATGATGCGGTGACTGCTGCTGCGAGGATGACCACCGGAGTTGGCTTGATGGTTTATGCTTCTTGACGAGATCAGCAAGGTATATCAATGTGGAAACTAGAGGGCTTGTTGGGTTCATGGTGCGTAATACGACACCCACCCCTTCCTTTTGTTTTATGTTACCCTACATCGACCCAACACGTTGAACGGGAAGCGTTTTAAGTATAAAATGTGATTATTGTCTCGTGTTAAATATAACTGGACATCTGTAAAATAAAATAAATAAATCTTCATAGCTCATCAGATTCCTCCAGCATAGACACAGATTCTCATTGCGGTAACTTGTGCAGTAAGTGGATGGAATTGGGGATAAAAAAAATTACATGGGTCAGAAAAATCGTGGACGGGTAAACCTCACTGGAGGCTGGGAACACCGCCACGTGACCTGGAAACACCACCACGTGACCTGGGAACACCACCACGTGGCCTAAGAATCGCGATGGGCCGCTTGGGAAACGAGACAGAGACCAGATGTAGACAAGACAATGAGTGTTTTTTTATTATAATTTTTATTAGATTTTTCTTATTTTTATTCACTTAATTTTCTATTAATAGTGTTCTATCTACGTGACTTTACCGAAAGAACCAAAAAATATGAATTCCTGCAGTCACGAAAGTTTTAAGTCAACATTTAAGAAGGAGATAAGACGGAGTCAAAACAGAGATGCCACAGACACGAGACAGAAGCGGGCGAGAGACGGGCGAGAGACGATACGGAGACGAGATGGAGACAAGATGGCGCGCGTGTCCCCCCCACCGTGCACTACTTCTATAGTATCCACAACTGCACAGGAATATCACGGCCAACCACAATTGGTCAAGCCACAGTCGCCGCGAGTGGTCAAATCCGCGATGTGGCGGGGGGGTGAACCCGCGATGGGCGAGGTTTAGATGTCTTTGAACGTGACAATCGCTCAATGTCTTACACCCTGTTGCCCCTCCCATCTGCCATTCGTTTCAAGGAGCCTTGTGGATTTCACTCGAGAAGATGGCGAAGGCTGGATCCTTCGCGCTTTTTTCAGGCATGCTGTTTTTTAATGGTGAGCAAAAGCACGCGTTGTTTATTTGTAATTGTGATCATCTGATTTCTACTGGACACTTTGGCCAGTATCAAGATGCTTTGATGTTTGCATTGCCCTTGTGCTGATCGCCTTTTGGCGTCGTTCTCTGGTCTCTAACACTGCTGGTGAGACAAGCCCGTAGAGGAGGCTGTAGCTCTGGTGTAGGGAAATCTGATTCAAGGACAATGTTTTCATTATTACCAAAGCATGTTGTTTGCATGTCTTACCACGACTGTGTGTGGTTAATGCAGACTTGATTCCTTTGTAGTAATAGGTGCATATTTGGTGTTTAAACATCTAAACAAATGGCAAAGTCTTTTCTTATTTTTTTTAGACATCATCTTCATTCGATAAAAAAAAAACACGTATGATGCACTTTTAAAATCTAAATTGAAAACTAATTTCTTGAGAACTGCTTTCTGTGTGTTTAGTTTGTTGTCTTTCTCCCCGCATCTCCGATGAGCATGGTTGGCAACGTGCGGTGCGAAAGAAGTTCAACATACATATAAACAAAGGATGTGTTTCCAGCTTTTTAGATTAAGTTGCTGCTATAAATGTCCACATGATAAGCCACTTCGTTGAGCTATCATTTGTGGCCAGGTTGTTTCTGAAAAAATTAACCCGTAAAAACAAAGTTTTTCACTATAAATCCTTTATATGCGTGGCGGCTAGAGTCCTCTCGTCATCTGGCTTGAGATGGCTGCCACCTATGGGTCAGATGATTGCCTGCCACCATTAAGCAATTGGTAATTAAATATAATTTATTTGTTCCAAAAAAGTGTAAAATTTTGGAAAGAAAATTTCACGAACATTAATTGTCACGCACAACGAGTCTGTGTGCAAAATGTCAGCTCGATTGGATCACGGGAAGTGGGTTAAAAAACGACCGAAAGATTTGCACGGTCGTAAGCAAGCAAGTGAACTTAATATAAAGGATTTAAAAATAAGCTTGGTGGGCTTTGCCTGGTAAGATGGGGATGATTTAGTTTCATTTGTATGTTTTTGGGTGACTTGTTTACCTTTCTTGCACCGCCATCATGTGTTTTGACTATCAGTTTAACACGTAGGATTTCACGACCAGTGTTTTTTGGGTTAGAGCGCGTAAATATGAATGTGTCGTTAAACCCTCCACCACCCGACACAGCCAATTAGTAAGGTCTGTCACGTAAACAAAACGTGCCATTTCGTTACTAGTACAGCACTAAACAGTGTGTTGGAGAGTAAACCCACAACATTTACAATTCGAGTATGACGTTTTTGCCGGTATTTACAACTAGCATCATCAGGCGACAGCCAGATTTGTGGAGAAATCCTCCTCCTGTTTCGTTCTTGTATTGTGTTTGTTTATTGTGACGTTGCCCTTACTGGACACCTGTGAAACAAGAAGGTCATAGCTCATCGGATTCCCCCTCCCTCTGTGTTCTAAATAAATATTCTGATTCTGTTTAAACTCTCTCTCTCTCTCTTTCAGGGCTGATTTTGGCCACGCCATCTCATTTTCTCTACAACGGAGCTGAGAGAGCTGCAGGTACTGTGATGACTCCTCCCCACTCCACCTCAATCCCTCACCCATTCACTCACTGCCTCTGCTGGTGGGCAACAGCGACAGATGCACGTGTGGAACCTCGATGTAATGTTACGTTAATTAATATCATTAAAATCATCGACACACAGATGCGCAGCGCGCAGATTTAGTTGGGAATCGACAGGCTGAGTGCTGGGAACGGTGGCCAGAACTGGAGCTACCAACAATTGGTGACACCTACGATTAGCACGGTTGGCTACGTACGGCTGCATCTCCTAGCCACCGTGGCGCCCCTATATAAAAGGGGGGGGGGGGCTCGACGGGTAGATGAAGAATATTCTGCAAGTGTAACACGACATAGTAGGCTTTCGCGACCAATATAATCCATAATGCAGGTTTTTTTTGGGTTAGATCGTGTAAATATATAAATGTGTCGTTAAACCCGCTGCCACCCGACACAGCCAATTAGTAAGGTGTGTCACGTGGCCAATTCGTTAATAGTACAGCACACCGATGTGTTGGAGAGCAAAGCCACGAATCTGTCTGTCGCCTGATGATGCCGGTTGTAATTTCTGGCGAAACGTCGTACTCAGATTATAAATGTTGTGGCTTGCCTTTTCAACACACCGGTGTGCTGTACTAGTGACGAATTGGCCGCGTTCTGTTTACGTGACAACCCTTACTAGTTGGCTGTGTTGGGTGGTGTTGGGTGGTGGCGGGTTTAATACACGATCTAACCCAAAAAAAACTGTATTATGGAAGATTGTACAAGGCTGACGTGAGATCTGTATGTGTGTCTGCGTCTCAGTCAGTCAACCCACGGCACCACCTGGATCTGTCCCTTGACCTGCCAGCGGGTGTTCGACACTTCACGTGGCCTTAAAGTGCACACAGCCTGGCACAAGCGCCATGGTGACGTCACTGCCAATTAGTGTGAATGAAGGTTGTGGTTGTTATTGTTGTTGTTGTGTTTGCGTCAAGGTGACCCGCTGGTTGTGAACATCACAACGAGTGACTACAACTGGTACGTGGGGATGGAGAACGTGACGCTCTACTGCCAGGCCTGCCCTTCCTCCCCGTGGACAAATTACACGTGGATCAGGTGAGTCGCAGCCCCTTCTCCCCCCATCTTCTCTGCAGAACCCGCTCCACTGCCCCACTGATCCTGCTTTAGCTTCACTTATACGTTGGCATCCCCGACCTCCTGTAGGCCGATTCCATTCCCTGCACCGAGTTGACCGGGAGTAACCGTGAGAGGGGGATTCATGGATGGAAATTAGGAGACAGGGATGATGACAGGGGGGGCGGGGGGACGGAGTGGGAGAGGGGACTGTGGGGATGAGGAAGACATTGGCAGCTGTGATGGGAGAGGAGAGAGCTATAGATGAAGGAGGGAGCTGTGAGTGAACGAGGGAACTGTATGTGAAGGAGGGAGCTGTGGATGAAGGAGGGAGCTGTGGATGAAGGAGGGAGCTGTGTGTGAAGGAGAGAGCTGTGGATGAAGGAGGGAGCTGTGGACGAAGGAGGGAGCTGTATGTGAAGGAGGGAGCTGTGGATGAAGGAGGGAGCTGTGGATGAAGGAACAAGCTGTAGATGAAGGAGGGAGCTGTAGATGAAGAAGGGAGCTGTGGATGAAGGAACAAGCTGTAGATGAAGGAGAGAGCTGTGGATGAAAGAGAGAGCTTTGTGTGAAGGAGAGAGCTGTGTGTGAAGGAGAGAGCTGTAGATGAAGAAGGGAGCTGTAGATGAAGGAGGGAGCTGTGGATGAAGGAGTGGTGGATGAATCAGGGAGCTGTGGATGGAGGTACTCGTCAGCAATCTATAGCCCTTAAACTTTCTGGTTTTAACCATCTATACGCTGCTGGGTGGAGAGAGATGCGTATTTTGCAGCTCAGTGGGCCTCACCTGGTGAAATAAAAAATGAAATAGTTTAAATGGTTTTGCTGTTCGTCCCGCCTTCTCGACAGTGACGCGGTCAACTTCGCCTCGGAAGTCGACTTGAACTGCAACATCATTCGCTTCCTCCGTCCCCTCACGGAGCTGGACGCAGGCAAATACTCATGCATCATTGATGAAGGCAACGGCAACAGCAGCAGCGCCACCATTGAGATCTCCTTCGAGGAGCTGTCGACGGTCACTGAAGGGGTCACGGAGCTGTCGACCTTCACCGAAACGATGACGGTCACGGAGCTGTCGACGTTCACCGAAACGATGACGGTCACAGAGCCTTCGTCGACGGTGGTCACGGAAGAAGTCACGGAGTCGTCGACGGTGGCAGTGACGGACACAGAACCAGCAACGAGCACTGAACCGATGACCATCACAGAAACAATAACAGTCACCGATGTGAACACAGAGCCAGCGACAGTCACCGAACCAGTAACAGGCACGGGTACAGCCACTAACCCAATAACAGACTCAGAAATAGTAACAATGACAGAACAAGTAACAGTAACCGGTACAGAAACTAACCCGATAACATTCACGGAATCAGTAACATTTACGGAACCAGAAACCGGCACAGGTACCGTCACCAATCCAGTAACAGACACGGGCACAGTCAGTAACCCAGCAACAGACACCGGTACAGTCACCGACCCAGTAACAGACACCGCTACAGTCACCAATCCAGAAACAGACACCGCTACAGTCACGGGCACAGTCACCAATCCAGAAACAGACACCGCTACAGTCACCAATCCAGTAACAGACACCGCTACAGTCACCAATCCAGTAACAAACACCGCTACAATCACTAACCCAGTAACAGGCACGGGACAAACACAAACGAGCGATTCTAACACATCTCAAGAAACGTCCAAGAACACAAGATCTCAAGAAACAACCAGTTACATCCCAACTCAAGCACCATCTGGACCTACTCCTGGTAAGGAAACTACTAGTCTTAACACTCCTACTGTAGAAACTACCAGTCTTAACACTCCTACTGTAGAAACTACCAGTCTTAACACTCCTACTGTAGAAACTACCAGTCTTAACACTCCTACTGTAGAAACTACCAGTCTTAACACTCCTACTGTAGAAACTACCAGTCTTAACACTCCTACTGTAGAAACTACCAGTCGTAACACAGTGATTATCTCTTTTCTGGCTTTGGCCCCTCCTACTCCTTTGTCAACCCCACACATTTTCTCATCCAAGTACTCTAAACGCGTGTTTTCAGCAAGCCCCTTTCACTTTTGCTCAGGTAGGCCTTCCCACAACTCTGGGAGCCCTTCCCATTACTCCTGGAGCCCCTCCCACTACTCCAGTAGCCCCTCCCACGACACGGGTAGCCCCGCCTTTTGCCTGTAGCATGAGAAAAGCAGATGTCAAACTGGGGTCAAAATCCAGATTTTTCACAAAAGCTTCAGGACAGCGCGACCGCCATTTTGGAACTAGCGGTAACCACTACACTAGTAATGAAGTGGCATGTTCTGTTCACGTGACAAATCTTACTAATTGGCTGTGTCAGGTGGTGGCGGGTTTAACGACACATTGATATATTTACGGGATCTAACCCAAAAAAACGATATTATAGAAGATTGTACAAGGCTGACGTGAGATCTGTATGTGTGTCTGCGTCTTAGTCAGTCAACCCATGGCACCACCTGGGTCTGTACCGTGACCTCCTGTCAGCTGGTGTTCGACACTTTACATGGCCTTAAAGTGTACACAGCCTGCCACAAACGCCATGGTGACGTCACTGCCAATTAGTGCTAATGAAGGTTGTTGTTGTTGTGTTTGCGTTAAGGTGACCCCCTGTTTGTGACCATCACAACGAGTGACTACAACTGGTACGTGGGGATGCAGAACGTGACGCTCTACTGCAAGGCCTGCCCTTCCTCCCCGTGGACAAATTACACGTGGATCAGGTGGGTGGCAGCCCCTTCTCCCCCCCCCCCCCCCCCATCTTCTCTGCAGAACTCCCTCCACTGCCCCACTGATCCTGCTTTAGCTTCACTTATATGTTGGCATCCCCGACCTCCCGCAGGCCGATTCCAATCCCTGCACCAAGTTGACCGGGATTAACCGCCAGAGGGGGATTCATGGATGTAAATTAGGAGACAGGGATGATGACAGGGGGGGTGGGGGGAGGGGGTGGGAGAGGGGACTGCGGGGATGAGGAAGACATTGGCAGCAGTGATGGGAGAGGAGTGAGCTATGGATGAAGGAGGGAGCTGTAGATGAAGGAGGGAGCTGTATGTGAAGGAGCTAGCTGTGGATAAAGGAGAGAGCTGTGGATGAAGGAGAGAGCTGTGTGTGAATGAGGGAGCTGTAGGTGAAGGAGCTAGCTGTGGATAAAGGAGAGAGCTGTGTGTGAAGGAGGGAGCTCTGGATTAAGGAGGGAGCTGTGGATGAAGAAGGGAGCTTGTGGATGAAGGAGGGAGCTGTGGATGAAGAAGAGAGCTGTGGATGAAGGAGAGAGCTGTGGATGAAGGAGAGAGCTGTAGATGAAGAAGGGAGCTGTAGATGAAGGAGGGAGCTGTGGATGCGTATATAGCAGCTCAGTGCGCCTCACCTGGTGAAATAAAAAATGTAATTGTTTAAATGGTTTTGCTGTTCGTCCCGCCTTGCCGACAGTGACGCGGTCAACTTTGCCTCGGGAGTCGACTTGAACTGCAACATCATTCGCTTCCTCCGTCCCCTTACGGAGCTGGACGCAGGCAACTACTCATGCATCGTTGACGGAGGCAGCGCCACCATTGAGATCTCCTTCGAGGAGCTGTCGACGGTCACTGAAGGGGTCACGGAGCTGTCGACCTTCACCGAAACGATGACGGTCACGGAGCTGTCGACCTTCACCGAAACGATGACGGTCACGGAGCTGTCGACCTTCACCGAAACGATGACGGTCACGGAGCCGTCGTCAACGGTGGTCACGGACGTTGTGACGGACACGGAACCGGCAACGACCACTGAACCGATGACCATCACAGAAACAATAACAGTCACTGATGTGAACACAGAGACAGCGACAGTCACCAAACCAGTAACAGGCACGGGTACAGCCACTAACCCAATAACAGACACGGGCACAGTCAGTAACCCAGCAACAGACACCGCTACAGTCACCTACCCAGTAACAGACACCGGTACAGTCACCGATCCAGTAACAGACACGGGCACAGTCAGTAACCCAGTAACGGACACGGGTACAGTTACTAACCCAGTAACCGGCACCGGTACAGTTACTAACCCAGAAACAGGCACTGGTACAGTCACCGACCCAGTAACAAACACGGCTACAGTGACTAACCCAGTAACAGACACGGGCACAGTCAGTAACCCAGCAACAGACACCGGTACAGTTACTAACCCAGAAACAAACACTGGTACAGTCACTAACCCAGTAACAAACACGGCTACAGTGACTAACCCAGTAACAGACACGGGCACAGTCAGTAACCCAGCAACAGACACCGGTACAGTTACTAACCCAGTAACAAACACTGGTACAGTCACTAACCCAGTAACAAACACGGCTACAGTGACTAACCCAGTAACAGACACGGGCACAGTCAGTAACCCAGCAACAGACACTGGTACAGTTACTAACCCAGTAACAGACACTGGTACAGTGACTAACCCAGTAACAGACACTGGTACAGTGACTAACCCAGTAACAGACACTGGTACAGTGACTAACCCAGTAACAGACACTGGTACAGTGACTAACCCAGTAACAGACACTGGTACAGTGACTAACCCAGTAACAGACACTGGTACAGTCACTAACCCAGTAACAAACACGGCTACAGTGACTAACCCAGTAACAGACACTGGTACAGTGACTAACCCAGTAACAGACACTGGTACAGTGACTAACCCAGGAACAGACACCGGTACAGTGACTAACCCAGTAACAGGCACTGGTACAGTGACTAACCCAGTAACAGACACTGGTACAGTGACTAACCCAGTAACAGACACTGGTACAGTTACTAACCCAATAATAGACACGAGCACAGTGACTAACCCAGTAACAGGCACGGGCACAGTTACTAACCCAATAATAGGCACGAGCACAGTGACTAACCCAGTAACAGGCACCGGCACAGTGACTAACCCAGTAACAGGCACAGGTACAGTCACCAATCCAGTAACCGGCACCGGTACAGTCACCAATCCAGTAACCGGCACCGGTACAGTCACTAACCCAATAACAAACACGGGAACAGTCAGTAACCCAGTAACAGGCACTGGTACAATGACTAACCCAGTAACAGACACTGGTACAGTGACTAACCCAGTAACAGGCACTGGTACAGTGACTAACCCAGTAACTGGCACCGGTACAGTGACTAACCCAGTAACAGGCACCGGCACAGTCACTAACCCAGTAACAAACACGGGCACAGTCACTAACCCAGTAACAAACACGGGCACAGTCAGTAACCCAGTAACAGGCACAGGTACAGTCACCAACCCAATAATAGACACGAGCAGAGTTACTAACCCAGAAACAGGCACAGGTACCGTCACCAATCCAGTAACAGACACGGGCACAGTCAGTAACCCAGCAACAGACACCGGTACAGTCCCCGACCCAGAAACAGGCACTGGTACAGTCCCCGACTCAGAAACAGGCACAGGTACCGTCACCAATCCAGGAACAGACACGGGCACAGTCACTAGCCCAGTAACAGACACAGAAGAAACACAAACGAGCGATTTTAACACATCCCCTCAAGAAACGTCCGAGAACACAGAATCTCAAGAAACAACCAGTTACGTCACAACTCAAGCACCTGAACCTACTACTGGTAAGGAAACTACTAGTCTTAACACTCCTACTGTAAAAAACTACCAGTCTTAACACTCCTACTGTAGAAACTACCAGTCTTAACACTCCTACTGTAGAAACTATGAGATTTAACACTCCTACAGTAGACACTACCAGTCTTAACACTCCTACAGTACACACTACCAGTATTAACACACCTGCTTCAGGAACTACCAGTCTAGACACACCTCCTCCTGGAACTTCCAATTTTAACACAGCTGCTCAACAAACTATCGGTTCTAACACCCCTGCTGTAGAAATCACTGGTTCTAACACACCTGCTGTAGAAATTACTAGTTCTAACACATCTGGTAAATTCACGACCAGTTTGAACACAGCTGTTAAAGAAACTACAGGTTCTAACACAACTGCTGTAGAAATTACTGGTTCTAACACAGCTGGTATATTCACTACCAGTTCTAACACAGCTGGTAAGGAGACAACCCGTCATACCACGGGTGCTCAAGAGACTCTGTCGATATCGGCAAAAACAACCCATTTCAAACCTCCGGCCTCTTCGTTGCCAACCGTAGCCGGGACTACCGAAACTGTCAATGTGACATCGACAACTGGCGGGCCATCAAACATTTGTCATTAGCGTGAACCAAACTTTCTTGTTTACAGTACTACAACAAGAAATTTAGCCGTCGACATCAATTTCATCTGGAGGGCAAACGCAAATACACAAAGAGCTCCAAGATGTGAGCATCGTGCGTTTTAGTATTTTAATTACTATTTTTTAAAACCCTCCATTAACGATCTACCGTTTGTGTACAAACGACTTTGGCGCTGGTGTTTTTAAATTGCTCGGGTCGGATATATATGCGGCGGTTGGATATGCGGTAGTCGGTTATACATGTCGTTCCACTCTCTGAGAGGCCAGAGGCGATAAGACGGCTCGTTGGGGTGGGCGTTGCGGGTCGGCGAGGCATGGCGAACGGCTTTGTCCTTGGTCCAGCAGCGGACTGACCACGGCTGTCGATGATTGTGGCGGCGACGGCGCTAACCATGCGCGTGGCTGTCTTGCCGTTGTCCACTCAGGGTTCCCGCTGTGGGCCCTCATCCTTCTCACGACCCTCGTCCCGGTCCTCCTGCTCAGCGTAGTGGGAGCCATCATCTATTTAATCCACGAGCATTGCAGCACGAACGGTGAGTGGGGCTCACGGGAACTCAAGGGGGCCTCTTTGTAGAATGGCCGTTGTCGGAGGCACAGGAGCCAGCGCTGCTGAGGTCCTGGGTTTAATCCACGGGGGTGTTGGTCTCTCCCTCTCTCTCTCAGGGATTCCCGTGATTAACCGGAGGCTTGAGATGGCTTAGAGAGAGAGATTGAGATCTATAGATACAGGTAGTCCCCGACTTACGATGGTCCGACTTACAATATTTGGATCTTACGACGGCGATAGCGATACGACAAAATTGTAAAATATTTTACATTTCGCGCGGCCGGCAAACGCAGCAGCGTACGAGGTACGATACTGTACGTTGGGACGTTGTCGGGATGTACCGTACGCATCTCCCGCCTTGTGTGATGCCTCTCACTCTCACCAGCGGTCGACGGAGTTAAGTTGTCACGGTATTAGCGCGTGTATTTTTTTCTGTGTTTTTTGTGTTTCAAGGTCCAATTTTAGTGAAGAAAGCATTATTGCAATTAAGAAATACATACAGTATATAGTTTATACAGTACGGTACTGTAAATTGCTCTGTTTTGCTAAATTATCACCATTCTTTAAGACTCCTGAGTAGGCGAGGCCATTTTCGACTTACGATATTTTCGACGTACGATAGGGTCGTCGTAACGCATCTCCATCGTAAGTCGGGGACTACCTGTATATATCAGTGGTGCGATTGGGCACGGTGGCCCGAGGAGCGGAAAGAGAGATGGCGCAGGACAGGGCAGCGTGAAGAAGGTTGGCAAGGACAGCGGAAACACCCCCACATGAGTGTGACAAACGCGTGGAAGAAAAATGGTTTGAGATCTTTTGCAGAGAGTGAGGGAGGGAGGAGGGGGGGGGGGGTTATTCAGCGTGGGGGTGGCCACGCAATTTGTGGCGATCGCCTGACGATGCCGGTCGCGACTCCCGCACCAGCAAAAGTGTCCGCGTGTACCGACGCACCGTCGGAGGCAAGGATTATACGTCGCCAGCAGCCCGTTCCGCGCGATCGAGAGCTCAGTTCCGAGTTTGGCGGCTGCGGTGTCACTTTTGTGGGCCACGTCGCCCCGTCCTTGATGCGCAAAACTGCAGCAGCAAAAGGTATCCCATGGTACAGTTGCTCACCCCGAGCTATAAATGCCCTGCATTGTCCTTGTGCCTGTTCGCCTTTTGGCGTTCTCCGGTCTGACACCTTTGAGACGAGCCTCTAAAGAAGGCTGTTTCTGGTGTGGACCAATCCGTTTTAAAACACTCCTCCTTACGACTCCCCCTCAGTCTCCCGTTCCAAGTGATAACTGCGACCCCCCCCCCCTGCCCCCCCCCGCAAAGGATCACGTTTCCACTTGGCCTCTCTTTGTCTCCCACTCCCCACTCCCCCCCTCAGACTCCCACTCCTCGAGCAGCGATACTGAGCATGGCCATTCAAGCTCCGACTCGTCTAGCTCCGACTCGTCCAGCGACTCCGACTCCGACTCCGAGATGAAGATGGAGGACATCCAACAGATGTACACAAACTTCAACAAATTCCAGGACTGAGGAACCCGGCGGCCATCATCCCCATCCCCCTCCCCGAGGGGGGTAGGTCTCCTGCCTCTGCCGAGCCGAGCCGCGTTCACACCACGGCGGCGGGGGGGGGGGGGGGGGTACCCCCCAGAAATCTTACATCGCCTATGTCAGCTCAGGGCTCCCCTGAACCACGTGGCTCCTGTGTGGTCACCCCCTCCACCACCGCCTCAACTCGGAACCCCTTCCCCTCTCATCTACAGATCTCCACTTCTCTCTCTCTCTAAAGCAGCTCACGTCTCCCGTGAACCACGTGACTCATGTTTAGACACGCCCACTCTCCCCCAATCCCAGCCCACTGTGAAAACAGACTCGGCTCCTCCTCCTCCCATGTCCAGCAGCAGCAGCAGCGTCGAGACGCTGATGCAGCCTCTTCGTCTTTCTCCTCCCCTCTCCGTCACCCTCTCATCTTGGCCCGGTCCTCCGTCCCCTTCCCCCATCTTGGACGGCCACCCACGGTGGGACCATGGCATGGAGGGGGGGCGGGGTGGGAGTTTTCCTAACATCTGTGTGTGATCCGCCAACCCTCGCTGCTTGCCGCCGCGCAGTGCTGGATTAGAGGCTTCGTGCAGCGGCGTTGCCGCCACCACCACCGCCCGCCGGCTCGCCCGCCCGACTCAACAAGGGGCGCAGTAAGTGTCGGATGATCCTCGTAGCAAAAGTAGCAAATGCTACGGGCCCCGCACTTTCAAGGGCCCCGCGCTAAATGCTTTCGAGCTATCAATTCCGAGGCAGTGATTTTGCACTTGCTCTATTACTATAGCACTATACCGCCTTCAAGTTTTATGAACGACCGGGTGTTTATGGTTACCGATTCGTCGTATTATCTGGCTGTCAAGAAAATGAAAAAAATTGCAATTACTTGACTATGCAAGTAAAAAAATTGTGTTTTAATATTTAAGTGTTTCTTTCAATTTAGGGCCCGTTTATAACATCATATGCTACAGGCCCCGCACGTAGCTTCATCCGGCACTGGGCGCAGCATCACGGGTACCCTACCCAGAGTTTGGTTACCCCGTGATGCTGCACCCCACTCCTTAGTATGGTTGGTCGCCCTGGTTGCGCTTTTTAGTTTCCTGCTCTTCACGCATTGGCGCATTGCAGAGGTCGCAATCGGGTACCCCCCGATACCCATACCCTATCCGATACCCGGCTACCCGTACCCGGCTAGGTACGGGTACCCGTTTGCGACCCTGGTGCGGCCGGGTACGGGTACGGGTAGCCGCACGTGACTCACCCCAACCAATGAGTGAGAAGGCCGTGAGTCACTGGTGAGTAACCGTTTGTCACTCATTTCCCAACGTCTTGTCTCTTCTCACAGTTCAAGTTCCTAGAATTAACCCACCCGCGCCTGCAACATGGCTTCATCCCAGAGGTCGCAATCGGGTACTCGATACCCGTACCCTACCCGATACCCGGCTACCCGTACCCGGCCGGGTACGGGTACGGGTACCCGTTTGTGACCCTGGTGCGGCCGGGTACGGGTAAGGAATCAAAACCCGTTTGTGACCTCTGGCGCATTGGGGAAATCCTTGGACGGAATGCCGCATTCTACGTTTGATTATTCCTGTTGCTAAACCGACAACCGTTTAGCGTCCGCGGTCCGTCAAGAAGTTCAACATACATGACGCGCTGCCGGGAGATGGGAGTCGAACTGGCAATGTCTGGATCGCGAGCCCAGCGCCTACTGGTCCCCTCACACCACCGTGGATTAACCCCCCAGTGGAAATCTTGAATCTTGTTTTAAAATTAAATAAATTACATCAACTTTACCCCCCCACTCCCTCCCTGCCAATGGTATCCCCGATTGCTCCGCTGTTGGGTGTCGCTAGACGGAGGATCCGATCGGGAAATCTCTCCCGAGCCGTGCGAGCCTATCGTGTTGTTCGAGAATGTTCCGCGGAAGCGGATATCACAGAGCTACCGCTGAGATCCCTCCTTCTTCAAGCGACGTTCTGTGATATGGGAGTAATGTTCGTCGCGTAAGAAGTCCCAAGCCTCGGTCATTTTAAATCTCAAGTGTTGCGATTCAGATGAAATTAAACGCAGAAACAAGTTTAATCCCGAGATTTAAGCCGATTCAGATCAACGTAATGCAAGGCATATGGCAGCCTTGTTTTGAGTGCACTCAAGTTTTAACTGAATCTCAACACTGTACCATAGACTCAACACTGCATCATAGACTCATCACTGCACCATAGACTCAACACTGCACCATAGACTCAACTCTGCACCATAGATTCAACACTGCACCATAGACTCAACACTGCACCATAGACTCATCACTGCCCATAGACTCATCACTGCCAATAGACTCATCACTGCACCATAGACTCAACACTGCACCATAGACTCAACACTGCCCATAGACTCTACACTACACCGTAGACTCATCACTGCACCATAGACTCAACACTACACCATAGACTCATCACTGCACCATAGACTCATCACTGCACCATAGACTCATCACTGCACCATAGACTCACCACTGCACCATAAACTCAACACTGCCCATAGACTCATCACTGCACCATAGACTCATCACTGCACCATAGACTCACCACTGCACCATAGACTCAACACTGCCCATAGACTCATCACTGCACCATAGACTCATCACTGCACCATAGACTCACCACTGCACCATAGACTCAACACTGCCCATAGACTCAACAACTGCACCATAGACTCATCACTGCACCATAGACTCATCACTGCCCATAGACTCATCACTGCCCATAGACTCATCACTGCCAATAGACTCATCACTGCACCATAGACTCATCACTGCACCATAGACTCACCACTGCACAATAGACTCAACACTGCACCAGACTCATCACCGCACCATAGACTCACCACTGCACCATAGACTCATCACTGCCCATAGACTCATCACTGCCCATAGACTCATCACTGCCAATAGACTCATCACTGCACCATAGACTCATCACTGCCCATAGACTCATCACTGCCAATAGACTCATCACTGCACCATAGACTCAACACTGCACCATAGACTCAACACTGCCCATAGACTCTACACTACACCGTAGACTCATCACTGCACCATAGACTCAACACTACACCATAGACTCATCACTGCACCATAGACTCATCACTGCACCATAGACTCATCACTGCACCATAGACTCACCACTGCACCATAGACTCAACACTGCCCATAGACTCAACAACTGCACCATAGACTCGTCACTGCACCATAGACTCAACACTGCCCATAGACTCATCACTGCACCATAGACTCATCACTGCACCATAGACTCACCACTGCACCATAGACTCAACACTGCCCATAGACTCATCACTGCACCATAGACTCATCACTGCACCATAGACTCACCACTGCACCATAGACTCAACACTGCCCATAGACTCAACAACTGCACCATAGACTCATCACTGCACCATAGACTCATCACTGCCCATAGACTCATCACTGCCCATAGACTCATCACTGCCAATAGACTCATCACTGCACCATAGACTCATCACTGCACCATAGACTCACCACTGCACAATAGACTCATCACTGCACCATAGACTCATCACTACACCATAGACTCACCACTGCACCATAGACTCAACACTGCCCATAGACTCAACAACTGCACCATAGACTCATCACTGCACCATAGACTCATCACTGCCCATAGACTCATCACTGCCCATAGACTCATCACTGCCAATAGACTCATCACTGCACCATAGACTCATCACTGCACCATAGACTCACCACTGCACAATAGACTCAACACTGCACCATAGACTCATCACTGCATCATAGACTCATCACTGCACCATAGACTCAACACTGCCCTTAGACTCAACACTAACCATAGACTCATCACTGCACCATAAACTCACCACTGCACCATAGACTCATCACTGCACCATAGACTCATCACTGCACCATAGACTCAACACTGCACCACAGGCTCATCACTGCACCATAGACTCATCACTGCATCATAGACTCATCACTGCACCATAGACTCAACACTGCACCAGACTCATCACCGCACCATAAACTCACCACTGCACCATAGACTCATCACTGCACCATAGACTCAACACTGCACCATAGACTCAACACTGCACCATGGACTCATCACTGCCCATAGACTCATCACTGCCCATAGACTCATCACTGCACCATAGACTCAACACTGCCCATAGACTCATCACTGCACCATGGACTCATCACTGCCCATAGACTCATCACTGCACCATAGACTCAACACTGCACCATAGACTCAACACTGCGCATAGACTCAACACTGCACCATAGACTCATCACTGCCATAGACTCATCACTGCCCATAGACTCATCACTGCCCATAGACTCAACACTGCACCATAGACTCACCATTGCACAATAGACTCAACACTGCACCAGACTCATCACCGCACCATAAACTCACCACTGCACCATAGACCCCGCCTGTTGCGTGTCAGTCTGTTGTCCTTACCCTGTGCGCACCTCCGATTCGCGCGGTTGGCTACGTGCGGCGGTGCGGTACAGAAGAGGTTCGACACGTGGATCGTGACGTGCCACCCGCTTGTCGCGATCATTGTCACCACGGCGAACCCTCGGAGCGTGTCGCGACAAATGACACCGAACCCCGTTTGCCTTTTGTTAATTCAAACCGGCTTAAAATTAAACACGCAAATTGTTCACCCAGTATTCCACTTACACTTTTGTATAGTTGTGTATACGTGTACATCTGTCTATATGCAGGGCGCTTTAACAGAAACATGTTAACACTCGTGAGAAATTGCAACAGCTGCCACGAGAAATGTGCTGCCTCCTCCGGGCTCTGGAGAACACCTGGAGAAGATTCCAGGCAATGCGTTGACAGCGATGGCGAAACACATGGGAGAGACTTTTTGGAGATGTTAACGTTCAATTTGTTATCATGTTACAGTGTATTATCCTCCGTTATTTTTCCATTAAAAACGACAGCCCGATAAAAGTTTTTAAAATGTTTTGAAGCACCCTATAGTGAAGGCCATCATCTCCGAAATTTTTTTTATGGGGTCCGGCATCATCGACACAATCGGCAATCTTTCCATTCTCGTTGAGCCCTGCAGCAGCAGCAGCAGCACGCGTCGTGTACATAGAGAGATCGTTTTGGTTATTTTGGCTGTTGCTGCTGCTGTAAATGTCCAAACGATTGGGGCCACTTTGTTGAGCGGCTATCATTTGCGATGGGCCCGGGTCGCTTTCTGAAAAAGAATAAGTCAATATACTCATTGGTTCTTTCGGTAAAGTCACGTATGTAGAAATAAAATAAAATGTTAATACATCACAAATAGAATAAAAATACATCACAACTGATTTATTTTAATTTAATGAAAATAAATCACAAATAAAATAAAAAAATAAATCACAACTGATTTAATTTATACTCTTTGGTTATTTCGGTAAAGTCACGTAGGTAAAAATCTAGAATCTAGAATTGATTTAATTTATTTAAATTACAACTGATTTATTTTAATTTTATTTGTGATTTATTTTAAAAACGAATTTCTACATAAGTGACTTTACCGAAAGAACCAATGACTATATTAATTCCTGCAGTCACGAAAGCTTCAATTCTAGAATAAGTTCAGTGTTGTTTGTGTTTGTGTGTGGGGTGATTTATTTACCTCTTTTGTACTTTGCACTACACTGCCGTGTTTTTGTAACTGTTGTTGGAACGGTCTTAGCCCGTGGGCCCGAACTGGACGTCTGTGAAAGAAAAACAAGCTTCAGAGCTCATGGGATACCTCCTGCAATCGAAATAAATATTCCGATTCTGACTCTGACACATGAACGTCTTGGGAGATGCACCGGTAGTTCGTTCCGTCGTTTCTCTGTCCGCTGGTCCTGGTGAGGGTCGCGGTGGCGGCGGCAGCGTGTTGGGTAGTGGCGGTCCATCCTTCCATTCCAGCACTACTACACACTACACTATACACTGCACTATACACTACACTATACACTACACTATACACTACACTACTACACACTACTACACTATACACTACTACACACTACACTATAAACTACACTACTATACACTACACAACTACACTATACACTACTACACTACACTATACACTACACTACTATACACTACACTACTACACTATACACTACTACACTATACACTACTACACACTACACTATACACTACACTATATACACTACTACACTACTACACAATACACTACTACACTCTCTACTACAGCAGCGTGTTGAGTAGTGGCGGTCCACACCTCCCATTCTCTGGCGAAACTCCTGCACTACTACACTATACACTACTACACTTTACACTACTACACTATATACTACAGCAGCATGATGCACCCCAGGTTAAGAATAACCACTGGACTGTAGTGTATAGTGTAGTGTGTAAGGGTAGTGTATTGTAGTGTATAGTGTAATCTAGTGTATAGTAGTGTAGTGTGTAAGGGTAGTGTATTGTAGTGTAGTGTATAGTGTAATATAGTGTAGAGTGTAGTGTATAGTAGTGTAGTGTTTAGTGTACTGTAGTGTATAGTATAGTGTCGTGTATATTGTAGTGTATAGTGGAGTGTATAATGTAGTGTATAGTAGTAATGTACAGTCGTGTAGTGTAGTGTGTAATCTACTACAGTGTATAGTATAGTATGTAGCTTAATAGTGTAGGGGACCGTCCATAAATGACGTCACGCGATTTTGGACGATTTTTGACCCCCCCCTCGTCACACGGCGTCACAAAAAGTCAGACCCCCTCAAATATGACGTCACAAAGCTCTGCATCCCCCCACCCTCAAACTAAAACATGCTTCAAATCGCTTTAAACTATTGTCATTGTAGTGCGTATTTGATGTGGCGCTGAACTCTGATGTTGTAGGAGAAAGCATTTATTAAAATGTCTATTTAATTAAGTAGAACGTGTTGTCTATATTTATTTAAAGTTGAGCTTTTTGATTTGACGTCACATTTCTCAAATCCCTCCCCCCCCCCTCGTCACATATCGTAACAAATCTCTGACCACCCGCCCCCCCTAGGTGCGTGACGTCATTTATGGACGGCCCCTAGCGTATAGTGTATAGTGTAGTGTATAATGTAGTGTATAGTAGTAGTTTACAATAGTGTAGTGTATAGTAATGTATAGAGTAGTGTATAATGTACTGTAGTGTATAGTGTAGTGTATACTGTCATGTATAGTAGTGTAGTGTATAGTGTCCTGTAGTGTATAGTGTAGTATATAGTAGTAGTTTACAATAGTGTAGTGTATATTTCGATTTAAAGCTTTCGTGACTGCAGGGATTCATCTTCTTGGTTCTTTCGGTAAAGTCACATAGAATGGAAACAATAAAATAATAAATATTAAACATACTTTAATAATTATATTATTACAGTATATAATCATGTAGTGTATAGAGTAGTGTATAATGTACTGTAGAGTATAATGTAGTGTATAATGTACTCCAGTGTATAGTGTAGTGTATAGTGTAGTATATAGGTGTCTGACCAGCTAGCTGTGCCTGTGTGAGTACACAGGAATTTCCTGTTTTGAGGTTGAGTTTGGTCACGTGGACAGGAAGTTACGATTTGACAGCCTTTCAGCCACGAGACTGGGGTCCGCCATTACACAGAATTTAAAATGGCGGCACACATCGCGTCCCAGTGAAGTCAGCAGTAACTGTACATTGTGGGACTTGAAGAAGCATTGACTGTAAGTTCGTTTACGTTCTTATAATACTGGGAATGCTGTTATAATGTTAGAATGACCGTTATAATGCTGTAAATGCCTTGCTAATGCCGTTACATTGTTATGATAAATACGAGGCCTAGTTAACAACGAAGCCTGCAATTTGCCTTATTGTGAATGTTACTTGTAATTGAATAATTCGAGTCGAACTTGTACCCAAGTAACTATATTGCGATCTTGAGAGCAAGATTGACGAAATGGCTCATTCATATTTTTCGATTTGAAGCTTCTTTCGTGACTGCAGGGATTCATCTTCTTGGTTCTTTCTGTAAAGTCACGTAGAAGGGAAATAATAAAAGGAAACCAATTTTTTTATTTTATTATGTTTTATTTTTATTATTGTATTATTTCCCTTCTACGTGACTTTACCGAAAGAACCAAGGTGTTGTCTATATTTATTTAAAGTTGCGCATTTTGATGTGACGTCACATTTCTCATAGTAGGTTTTTACCCTTTCAACTGGTACAAAAACTGACACCTTTATACGAGGCATCATGTTTGCAATAACCACAACACAAGCAGTGAAAATGCAAACAAAAAGAAACAACTCTGATGATGATAATGATATGCATATCATCATCAGAGTTGTTTCTTTTGCATATCATTATCAGAGTTGTTTCTTTTTGTTTGCATTTTGACTGCTTGTGTTGTGGTTATTGCAAACATGATGCCTTGTATAAAGGTGTCAGTTTTTGTACCAGTTGAAAGGGTAAAAACCTACTACTATATTTTGCCACTGGTAAAGGAGATGTCTCATAGAACCCCCCCCCCCTCGTCACACATCGTCACAAATGTCTGACCGCCCCCCCCCCCCCCAGGTGCGTGACGTCATTTATGGACGGCCCCTATGCTGCTTCAGTGTAGTACCGCCAATACGTCCAATATAAACATAAATATATAAATATGGAGGAAGGGAGGGGGGCAATCAGTGTGAACAGAATACCGATTGCCCCACTTGAACTTGAGACTCGTGACACACGCGGCGAATACGCAGTCACCCCAATGGGTGCGTGTGAGTGGGGAGCGGTGGTGCAGCGGTTAGCGCTACGAACCCGGCGACCCGAGTTCGATTCCCGCTCACGGCCAACACCGGTGACGATTATTTGAACTTGGTCGTGGGCCTCCCCTAGGTCGACTCAGCCTCAATCGAGTTCCTGGTGCTGTGTAAAAACATTGCCACTAGGGAGACAAAGGCGACCGGGCGTGGTTTTGGCCACGCGCCCCCTCGTGTGCCGTGCCGGCCTTCATAGGCGCTCGCTAACAGCACTTGCCCCTAGTCTGTTAAGGCTATATGGGGGAGCTTTGTCGTCTTGTGTGAGCGGTGGCGCAGCGGTTAGCGCTCACGCTGCGCTACGAACCCGGCCACCCGAGTTCGATTCCCGCTCACGGCCAACACCACCGGTGACAATTATCTGAACCTATGCCGGGCCTCCCCTAGGTCGACTCGGCCTCAAATGAGTGTACCTGGTGCTGTGTGTAGTAAACATCGCCACTGGGGAGACAAAGGCGGCCGGGCGTGGTGCTGGCCACCCACCTCCTCGTGTGCCGTGCCGGCCTTCATAGGTGCTACTCGCTAACAGCACTTGCACCTACAGTCTGCTGAGGCTATACGGGGGATCTTTGTCTTTGTTGCGTGTTGCAATGGCAATGTTAACACGCGCCTTGAACACGCACGGAGATTGGAGGGGTTTGTTTTTTTTTTTACTTACGGCCGTCGCAACGAGCCAAACGGAATCACAACCTCGGCTGAGAGGTGACGGTACAGGTGGCACATCGGCCAGTCATCTCGGCCAGTCGGTCAGTCGGTCGGTCAGTCATTCGGTCAGTCGGCCAGTCGACCCACGGCACCACATGGGTCTGTCCCGTGACCAGCTCTTGCCAGAGGGTGTATCGACAACTTTCACGTGGCCTCAAAAGTGCACCTGGCCTGGCACAAGCGACGTGGTGACGTCCTCGCCACTAAGTGGCGAATGGCCGGGTATTGGTTGATATATGATGGTGGTGACAGTGGTGATGGTGGTAACAGTGGTGATGGTGGTGACAGTGATGGTGGTGACATTGGTGATGGTGGTGACAGTGGTGATGGTGGTGACAGTGGTGATGGTGGTGACAGTGGTGATGGTGGTGACAGTGGTGATGGTGGTGACGGTGGTGACGGTGGTGATGGTGGTGACAGTGGTGACGGTGGTGACGGTGGTGATGGTGGTAACGGTGGTGATGGTGGTGGTGGTGATGGTGGTGGTGGTGACAGTGATGGTGGTGACAGTGGTGATGGTGGTGACGGTGTTGAAGGTGATTCATGGCCTTCAGATTCGCTTTTGCGGCCGTCTGGAACGCTCTTCCTTCCGATGATAGGAAGCCACCTGGAGCTCATTACTTCAGAAGCGAGCTTTGTGCGTCTCGTGTGTTCCCCCCCTCCCGCACCTCCGTTTAGCGCGGTTGGCTACGTACAGCGTGAAAGAAGTTCAACATACATCCATACATAGAGACACAGAGACCCATAAAGACCCACATACATAGAGACCCACAGACACCCAGAACCACAGAGACCCACAGAGACACCCATAGAGACCCATAGCACGGTTGGCTATGTACAGCGTGAAAGAAGTTCAACATACATTCATAGAGACCCACAGAGACACGTAGAGACCCACATACATCGAGACCCACAGACACCCAGACCTACAGAGACAAATAGAGACCC